ATATGAACAAGATATAAAAGTCTTGGCTCACTGGGAACTTGCTGTTATCTCAGGAGCTTCTGAAGTCTTTTGTTTCTGCACAGAATTTCTTCTGAATTTGTTTAAATTCCTTAGGAATGATGGACAAAAAGTGCCTGGACCAACATCTCCAGGTGCTGTCCCACAAATGCAAGAGGTAAAAATGAAATTTTTGTCTCTACTGGAGCTTACCTAAGATGTAGAAAAAAACAAAAAGGCCAACTGGTGGCTTTGCTAATTGTTAATCTTGAGTACAATTTGAACTCTCTGCCCTCATCTGAAGGGAAAAACAACAACAAGAAAATAGAGAAGGCTGAAAAAGCCTCATAATTTTTAGGTTCATGGAGGTCAATGAAGAAAAGTCCATTAGAAGTATTTGCCTGAAATGGATTTCTCATTATTCCCCTTTATTAGTAATAAATAAAGCTTTTAATGTGCTGCAGCAGAGAGAATATTCAGGTTATAAACAAGGCTGCCATCAGCAGCTGAGGGCTTACAATAGGCTGGGCCAAACAAGGCTCAAGCAAAAGATAAATATTTCCATCCTCTTCATTTCAGGGGTAATTCCTGCTTGTTGATGCAGAAATCCAGCCAGCCCAGCCACTATTTTAGTAGCCACACCTGAGAGCCAGGTCAGGTCCTTCAGTCTCTTTGTGTTCCCTTTTTATTTTACCTGACTGAGGTTGGGATTGATTTCTGTCTGCCAGGACTGAGAACAGGTTCTGCAGGACAGGGATCAATACTGCAGGGCAAGTCCCAGCTCCTCATCTGAGAGCAGTGGCATGAAAATATTTAGCCTGTCCTCATGGTTTAGGAGGAATTCTGCCCCAATTATTTCATTATAATGCATTATATATATATATATATTTGCTATTTTTATATATAGCAATATATATATCTATATAATATATATTGCTAAATAAATATCATATATATATATAAATATATAAATATATTAAATATATGCATATTTCTATTTTTCTTGATAAATATATATGACATATATTTTCTTGATAAGTAAATATGACCTAATCATATTTATTAAGGAGTCTCTCAGCTTCCACACTGAGAAATAGCAATAGGACTTCTCCCCACATAGTGTCAACCCCTGGCTTTAACAATTCTGGCCATAAATTTTCATCTCAGATGTCTTTGTACATTTAAAGAGCAGCACATCTGCTTTGTCCTTTGAAATGTTTTTAAGACAATTCCTCAGTGTCCCCTCAGTGGCAGGAATTTAAGGGATCAAGGTGGAATTGCAGCTGCCTGAGGAGCATCTTGGCAAGAGAAGGTGTTGTTTTTTTCCCCCCTAGAAATTCCAGAGTTCTGGATCACATTGTTCCAAGGAACTCAGTGCAGTTCCTCAAGATAGCTTTGTGTTTGTGTAGTTAAATTGTCATTTTCAGCCTCTAAGGCGCATTTGTTGTCTCAGAGGCAGAAGAAAACACAATGGCTGTTGTTGTGCTGAATGCTGAATCTGATGTCGGAGGTTTTCCTGCTCTAACCTGGGGTTATTGCACCACAATATTGCATTTATTCACTGAGCAATATTTCAATGTTGCATTTTTTCACATTTCCCTGAGAGTCCTCACATCCAGCCATGAGATTCTGCCTTTCCTGCCACGCTTGGAGGAAAAAATCCCATCTGAAAATCAAGGATTCCCTTTCACCCTTGCAGATGGAGCAAGGTTGGGCAGCTGGATTCTGGATTCTCTTTTGAGAATCTCTGCCTGATTTAAGGGACCTGAGCTGGGGTGTTTTTGGGGTGTAACAGGGAAGGATTAATCAGCAGCTTGCATATTATCTCCTAATAGAGACAAAGATGAAAACCAGGCTCAGGGAGAGAAGGCAAAGGAAGGCAGAAGGGGATGGCATGGCTGAGTTCAGCTGCTCCCTGCACGTGGCCTTGGAGGAGCATTTTTGTCATCAGCCTCATTGCAGGTGAGCTGGAAGGGCAGGAAAATCCTCAGGGTGCATTCCAGGGAGTCCAGCTTGTCACTAAAAGTTTGATTTTGGCTTCCAGACTGAAATAATTCAGATGCCACCTGGAAAGGGCAATGAGTGGATCCCTGGATTGGGTCTCTGTGTCCCTTTTTTCCATCTATTCACCTCACTGCGTGTAAAGCACTGAACACACCCATATTTTTGTTGCATTTTTGGTTCCAGTCCCTAGGGACCAATCTTATGACGTGACCAAGGCTTAATTCCTTAGAAAGAAAAAGAGTGAGGAGTTTACTGGGCATGGAATGATGGCCAAGGGTCATTCCCTGAGCAGTAAATCCCAGCAGATGGAATGATGAACTCTGAGCTTTGGCAGAGCGTTGGGTGCTTCCAGAGGAGTTTGGAGCAAATCTTTCCTTCTCCACCTGCACATGCCATGAAGGACATGAAGAATGGCAACTTCACCTAATTCTGGCACAGTCCTTGTAGTTTTGGAGACTTTTTTTGTAGGAGTGTGGATCTCCACAGCATCCCAGGATCTGTGTGAGGGGTTGGGAATCAGTCGCGCATTTACCCCTGACTTAGGAGAGCCAAGGGTTGAAGCTGCACGAGCAGCAAAGCAAACTCCCTTCCTCTGACCTTTTGCAGCTTGATAAATCTTTCAGATTCCTGCTCCCATGGGGCTGTCCCAGTTGTTTACAAATTTCTCAGCATGGGACCCCTTTCGCTATAAATAATGGGAGAATTTTATGGCTTTGTTTTCCATGAAACAAGAAAGAGTACATCAAGGAGCTCTCTCCTTCCTCCACCCTTTCCTATTCAGCTTATGGAGAACTATTTTTAGCTCTTCAGACCTGGCTCCAGGGTAATGATGACACGTTTTTAAAATGCCTGTAATTCCAAATTCTCAAAAAAACCCAATGTGGCAGAAATGCTTTTGTGCTGGGGTGCTGAGACTGGGTGTGAACTCTGAACTCTTCTTCTCCTACCTGGGAAATTCAGGAGCAGAGCAAACTCCAAGCATAGAAACCCTGGCAAAGTCAGGCCATCATTGGGAATTTTAGCATTAATTCTCCATGAAAGCTTTTAAAACTTTCCTTTTATTGAGATCTTTCTTTTACAAACCGGAATAACCTGACAGGCAAAAGGAAGTGCTGCTGGGAAATCCTTTGAGACACTGGGTAGGTGGATGAAACAATTCCTTCCACACCCCAGAGAGCACACACTCATCCCCTGGTCACAAAATACATCTAAAAATCCCCAGGTGCTTGAGTTCAAACATTTAAAAGCATGAGATGAAAGGGAGCAATGTTTTCTTTTTGAACTCCCAACCCTGGTATTGGGCTCCAGTTTTGAAATCAGCCTGGTCAAACCTCTTGTCTCAATCTCTCATGATAAACAAGCCACAGTGAGGGGTTTTATTTCAGACACAGCTGCCAAAAAGAGACAGAAATAAGTTTCTCTCCCACTTTAAAGGCTTCACTCACCTGTGGCACCAGTGAGTTCTCACTTGTCAGTGCAATATAAGTGATACAAATATTAGTTTGATTTTTTTTCATTTCATTTTTCTATTCTTCCTGACAGCAAAGAACATTCCTCCTGTGTTCCTCAGAAGGGAAGCAGCATGGATGGACAGGGCTGTGAGACCCCCACAGAAGGAGTGATGTGAAGCAGGGGAAATTCAGCTCTAAAATGTGTCTTCATTTACAGACACCTCCTTAGGGCCTCCCTAGTCACAGCCTCAGTTGTTCCTTTATCAACTTTCTAAAGTGGAAGATTGCAAATTGCCTCTGAAATCTTCCAACTCTTCCCCCTAAGACTGAACTTTTTACATTATTTAGAAGAGAGGGGCTCTTTTCTCTGTAATGGGCCATGTCTGGGGACTGGTAAATTAATACTTGTTTACTTATATCCTCCTGCTGTTCTGTTCAAATACATTCCAAGGGCTCCTCTTGCTGCATTAAGGATATCAGCATGTTGTTTGTTTTATAACCTGGGAGAGAGCATAACAATATAGCTTCTCACCAGGGTGCACACCAGCAACAAATTGAATAAAAGGAAGCAAACTGATTCTCAGAACGCAGAGCTTCTGGGTAATCAGAATTGCAGATGCTTGGCTGAGTGTTAAAACTCTTCACCATCAATCTTACCTTCTCTTGTCTTGTTATTGAGGATACTTTCTGGGTGTACTTTGGGGGAGAAACAGGAAAAAATGGTGAGTAATAAATACTTGGGGGGGATCAGAGGTTTGTGGCATTGTTGTGTCAGTTTTAGCTAAGAAAACCAGCCTCAAAACCTTTAATTTTGTAAAAATGAGATCATATTAGAAATCCTAAATGTTGTACAAAAAAAGGATGGAAGCATTTAACGTCACTGAATTTAAATATTTAGCTCTTTTCACCATGATAATGAACAAAACATGAATCCCCCTTCACCAGGAGCCATCCATGTGTCCCCCAGAGTAAAACAATCAGCAATGATCTGTTAAATCCCTGCCTGCCGCCCTCACACCCCCTGAATTTCTGTGTGGGCATCACCAGCTCTTGTGCCAAGGAGACCAAAAAGGAATCCTAATTTCTCAGATGTGGCAATGATGGATGATCAGAGACTGATCAAGGTCACTGCAGTGGAAGAATTTTGGCTCCAACTCCCTGACCTGGCAGGAGGAAAAGCCAATTTGTGCCCTGTCCATCTGCTGGAACTCCCCACACACATCTCAAAGTAGGGAGCAATCCCTGCAAAATCCCAGTTTTGCTTCCCAATTCTTTCCCCACTGAACCCACAGATGTGGGATCAAACAAAAAGGGCTGTACCTGAGCGAGATGCTGCTGTTTCTTGGTGTCCACAAAGTTCAGGAGAAAGGCCAAGTCCTTCTCATCTCTCCTGGCCAGGGCACTGAGCGGGGCAGCTGCTCCTGCCACGTTCCTGCCCTGCAGCTGCAGCACAGCCAGGCGAGCCCTGGCTGTGTCCTCAGCAGGACAGTGGCCAAAGGCTTCCTGCAGGTGCTTGAGGGCCTCCTGGTGCCTTCCTGTTGGGGAACATCAGCACAAACTCCATTATTTATCCCATGGGGAGAAAAGTACCCAGAAACCACAGTGAGGCAGGGGTCCGGCAGCCAGTCCATGTCTAAAGGTGTTAATTTTGTCATATCCTGTTGGAATTCAGCCCAAGATGCCTGTGGTTTTGATTATGACCCATGGAGCAAGTTACCAACCTCATATGAGGATCTGCAAGCAATGAAAGTCTAAGTAGAATAATAATCAGTTTGTCACAGGGTGGAAAATAGATTTTTTTTTGGGTTTTTAGAATGAGGGTTCAGGAGGCAAGATGGAGGGATCTGGGTGTGTCCAGCCTTTCTCCTTCTTCTTCTTGGCTTCCATCTTCTGCTGTGATGTTTGCATTTTTGGATTGGTTTAAGGTAGAAGCTCACTGTCTGACATAGGTGATAGGTATTGGGAAGGAATTGTAAATACTGTACATGTAGTTTTTAGTATAAAAGATAACACCAGTGTGCCTCTGTCTGTCCTGCTGAGCGGACCTTGGCAGGACAGGAGAAAGAATTTTATAGATAAGAAAATAAACAACCTTGAGAACGAGAACTGAAGAGTTCTGACTCCTTCTTTGACCACCAGACTGGGAAAAGAGACTTCCTGACACATCTCAGGGTCACTCTGAGCAGTTAAAATCCCAAGAATACCCTGTCCCAAAATGTTTTCAAACTTCTCCATCCAGCACCATCGAGCATTGTCCAGCACCATCCACCATTATCCAGCACCATCCAGAACCATCCAGCAACACCCCTGACATTTCATATTCACTTCTCTCCATTTTCTGCTCCCTCACCAGCAGCGCTGAAGGACTGGGACTCACCATTTGCCATCAGAACATCAGTGTAGAAGATGTGATGTTGTGCAGCCCTGCAGACTTTGGTCAGGGCTTTTGCCATCGTGAGAAGGTCCCTGAGGGTTTCTCCTGGGACATCTTTGGTGGCCATGAGCTCGCTGAGAGTGGCCCTGCCATGCTGGAGGAGCCACCCAGTGACCAAGCCTTGGGCTTCAGGCTTCAAGGACAGGATTGCTGGGATCACTGCTCCTGCCTCCACCTTCAGTGCTGAGATCAGGTCTTGCACTGCCTCCTGTGGAAAAACAACAGTAAGGAAAGAAATGGAAGCAATAATTAAGTATTGATCATTTGTTCTTTGAGTTGCTTTCTGTTCTCTGCTGAACCATGGAAAAGCTTTGCTCTTCCCTGTCCTGGTGCTGCAATTTTTCCATTTGCAAAGCTGACAGGAGGTCATAAAGGCAGGTTTGAATCAGTGTTTGCAAAGTGCTTTAAACTCCTTGTGTTATCACAGAAAATCATGACCAAGTTTTAGCCCTACTCTCCCCAGGTTTGGGAAAGAAAATCAGTAAAGCCAGATGAGCTGTTCATACACCCAGCCAAACCCAGAGCATTTCACTGCCCAGATTCTGTGAGAAACTCCTGATTCCAGTGATTCCACAACAAACTCTGTGATTTACACTCCTATTGCTCAGAAAAACCAGCAAAGCCCCACATGGACAGTACCTTCTGCTGCTTCAGAGCCAGGTGAACAAACCCTCGGCCGCTCAGAGCTTGCACATTGCTGGGATCCTCCTTCAGGACAGCATTAAAATCAAAAATTGCAGTTTTCATCTGCCCAAGGCGCCCGTAGCATCGAGCCCTGGTGAGGAGGCAATCCTCAGCATAACCACCTGGAGGACAGGGAGGCAGCCACGGTTACTACAAGGATACTCACAGGAAGCTCCAAAAAATCTCCACTTGGCCTGAGGAAACCTCAGGATGAATACAATGAGAGTTTGCTAAAGTGGAAGCTTCCTTTATTGTTGTTGCAAGTGGAATTCCTGCCACGTGTTGAAAGGAAAGGAGAATCTGTGTCAGGTTGGAGTGGGAGCAGCAGGAATGAGAGGAGAAAGCCCCAAGAGGGAGATCTGGGATTATTGAGAGTGGAGGCATGAAGCCATTTGGCTGTTTTTATAAAATGGGGTCAGAATCAAAGAATAGTTTGGGTTGGAAGGGACCTTAAAGAGTCCCCAGCCCCCTCCCACAGGCAGGGAAGGTACACATTGTTTTGGATAAATGAGTTATCCAGATGGGACTAATTCCCTGCCAGAATTAATATGCTCTGGGATTTGTGATACTGAGCTGCTTTTTTTTTCTTTTTTTCCCCCTCTGCTATCACACAGGTGCTGCCCAAATAAACACATAGAGCTGTCAGAGAAAATCCTGGTCCCTCCATTCCCTGCCTGCAGAGCATTTCTCTGCCTGCCATCCACACATCCCTTCCTTCCAAGGCAATTTCGATAAGGATCTTAACATGCCCAGGGTTGCAATCAATAACTGTGGCATCCAATATTGGATGATAAATCATCGGTGCCACTGGAAATATGTTTTCATAGGGAGGTCAGCAAATGCAGCTGCCTGCAGGGATCAGCCAGCAGACAGGCTCCAAGCAATTCCTCTGCAGTAATGAGGCTTTTTCTCCCTCCTGATTTGCTCCAAAACTTCTGCACCAAAGGTTATTATCACTCTGGAGCTCTACCAGTTGGCTTCTCTAAAGACAATATCTATTTCTTAACAAGCATCTGTTCTAGCAGGTGGGGAGCTGATAAGCTGGAATGCACGGGCTGTGAAATGGAACCATCTCCAAGCAATTAACAGGGTTTTTATTCCATTCCCACCAGCCAGCCTCTCTTCTTCTCAGTGCTGCTGTCATAACATTTGCTCAGAGTGAAAGGCAGATTTCCACACAAACATGGTTTTACTTGGAAGAATTTCCATGTCAGCCTGGTCTCTCTCCTGAGGGAAAGCTGGGGTGGTGAAATGTGTGAGGGGCTGCATTCACTTCTTTGCAGTGGGTGAAGAAGAGGGGGTGATGTTCCTGTAGGACTGAGCTAAACCCATTTAAAGGAATTTAAAATTCATTGAAATTTAAAATTTAAAAGTTTTGAAATTTAAAATTAAAAATTCTTGGCCCAGGTGATCGTGCTGTGTCAGCCCTCACCGGGGAGGTGACAGAGAACATCTGCACATCCTGTCCCACCCTGATTTGCTTAGGAACAAATCCCCACGGGCATCCTGGTGTCCTACCTGCAGCAAGGATGGCAAAGGACAGGTGGGCAATGGCCTCTCTGATGGCAGCAGCCTCCTGTTTGCCCTTCAGGATGGCCAGGGCTCGCCAGCGGCAGTGGCTCTGCAGCAGCTTTCTGTCCTCGTCCTGGAAAATGTCCAGCACTGGCAGGAGGCAGGAGGAGTCTCCAATTCTGATCAGCCTCCTCAGCAGCTTAAGGACGGGAGAGGAAAAGGCAGCAGAGAAAGAGTTGAATGGGGTGTGAAGTTGTGTGTGAGAGATTTGTGTCCTTCCCCAGCTTTCCCCACTTCTCCCTGGGGCTTCAGCCAGCCCAGGATCACAAATCTCCCTGATTTATCTCCTCAGACAGCCCTGCTGTGAATGCAGGAGAAAACAGGAATTATCTTTTCTTACCACCACTGCAGCTGTGGAAATAATTCTGGGCAAATATCTGGTGCTGCTTGCTTTGTTTTGAGCAGCATCCACATTGGCAGTGGAGTGTTCTTATAAATACAGGATGATTGCCCAAAAAAGAGAAGGTTCCTGTGGAACACAAGGATTCCAGTGACCTTTTTGACTGCAAAATCAAAATCACTGGACTAATGGAAAATTAGAGAAGTGCTGTAAGTTATTTTTAGTATTGTTATTGGTAATCTGGGAAAAGCATGGATTCAAACCTACAAAGTACTGTCCTGCTGGAAAAGAATCCTGTCTCACCTTTGGTATCTTTGCCTCAAAAAGCACCTTTTAAACATAATTTCCAATGACAATGAATCAAAAGATGGTTTTACAGTGCTCAGCAGAGACTGAATATTCAAATCTGAGCCAGAGAAGTCTGGACAAGAACAAAGTTATCCTGATGTACCAGACACATCCCTTGAACTCATAAATTTCTCTATTTTATTGATAGATAAAAGTGATTGGCATCTGACAGGCAGGTGGGATAAAATATTTTGAAGAGAAATTTTCAGATGTTCCATGCAGAAATTGCAGCAGAAGCTGCAGATGGAAATTCAGCTTCCAAAGAGAGCACTGTAATAAAGCCACACCCTTCATTAACAGCCATCCTAAAAGCAGCAAATTACAGCAAACTTTTATTTTTCACAGGCAGTAGTAAAGTGCTGACAACAAAACCTTTCTCCTTATGGGTTAGCAGAATTTATATGGCATTTTAAAAAGAATACAACAGTTCCCTCTGATGGCAGAGCCTGGGAATTCAGCTTTGTCATCCTGGCGAGGAGAACCAACTTTGCTGGAATGGATCTCAGGGTTTCCAGCACAATTTATCAGAAAGAAAACTGCAGACTGATATTGGAATTTCTGCATTTGTGTCTTTCTACTGCAATGCTTCATTAGGTTAATTGGGGAGGTGGCATTTGTGCCTTCTTTTCTCTAAGGGAACATTCCCAATCCCATAATTTTGTCCCCAGGGACAGGATGCTCTCCCTGGTTAAAGTGCTGAGAAATGCCATTAAAAAGCACATGAGGAATGAGCTGGATTTAATTGGGACTCCTTGTGTGGCCTTTTCCAACACAAATTCCTGTGATTCTATGATTTTATGGCAATATCAGCTGTGTATTTACACCTTTAAGTTCTGCTAGAGGTTCTGCACATGGGCTCCAAGTTTCACTGTGTCACAGCTCTCTCTGCTGCTATTCAGGGATCTTCTAACAGCAAAGGGGAAATATAAAGGGGAAATGCACCCAAACCACTGAACACAGGGATTAATCTGTAATTTAATGTGAAAAATCTGGCAAAGCAGCTGCTGAGGAGGGAATGACCCCGAGGATGAGGCTTTCCAGGTGCTCCTTACCTGGTTGCCATCATACACAGAGCCCCTTTTGAGCTGCAGCAGGGCCAGCCTGGCCAGCACAGGAGCTCGCTGTGGGTTTCTGGAGAGGGCCAGGGACAGCATCTCGTGGGCTTCCTCCCCACGGCCCATCTGGTACAGGGCATCAGCACACAGGATCCGGGATGCCTCGTCAGAGCTGTCCAGCTCCACCAAGAGAGAAGCCAGCTGGAAAACCCCAGGGGCATCTCTGGAGTGGGAAAAAAAAAAAAAAAGCCAACAAAACAAAACACCTTCAAGGTCAGGGATGTGCACAGCTCTGTTTGATTTTTCTGAAAGAAAACTGAGCAGCCTCCTGGGTACCTCTTCTTCTGGAGCATCATCTGTCCTTCCTCCTGGAGGACCTTCAGCAGCAATCCCCTCTGGTTCCATGGCACGTAGGACTTGATGGTGAAGATGGTTTCATCCAGCTTTAGCTGGCAAGCTGTGATATAATCCAGAGCTGTCAAGTAATTGCTGCCACCAGAAATACGGATCAGCCCACGCCCACACAGGGCTTTGATGCAGCTGCTGGGGTGTGGGGACTCGTGCTCGATGACCCTCTGGAAGTCCTGCAGGGCTCCATGGTGGTCCTGGGCGTGGAGGGAGCAGAAGCCTCGCAGTGCCAGCAGGGTGTTGTGGTAAGTGCTCTGCTCAGCTGCCAGCAGCTGCTCACACATGTCCAGGGCAGCCCTGGGGTGTCCCTGCAGGAGGTGACAGTCTGCCAGCCGGACCCTGAGCTCCCGGCTGGACGCTGGGCAGATGTGCAGGAGCAGCTGGATTGTCTGGATGACAGGAGGGAGCAGCTCAGTGCCACAGGTGCCCCTGAGCTCAGCCCGAGCACGCACAGCCTCCCTGTAGGCTGCAAACCTCCCCTCCAGGGCAGCTCTGGCCTGCTCCTCGACCTTCTCAGCATCACAGGCTGAGAAAAGCTCTTCAAAGCCTTTCATTGCCTGGGCAGGGTCTGCTGCAAAGGCTGCTGCTAAATCCTGCATCATTTCCTGTGTGCATTCTCCCAGGAAGAAATACCCAGCAGCTCGTTCCAGGAGCAGAGCCAGAACGTCCTCACCTCTGAGATTCTCAGCTGAGAATCCCTCAAGGGCCTTGGTGCAAACAGCCACACACTCCTGAAACTCTCCTTTTTTTCGCAGGTGGGCTGCCCGTGCCCTGCACACCCAGGCGTGCCCTGGTGCCACTGCAGCCAGGAATCTGTAGCACTCACCCAGCCATTGCTCTGAGGAGCTGCAGCTTGGGCTTTCCTCATGGCACGTGGAGAGATGATCAGAAAAAGCCTGGACAACCTGGGGCAGGTGCTCCCTTTGCCTGCTGCACACGTAGGCTGCTGCCTCAGCTTGGTGAAGCACAAAAGCTTGGATATAATCCACAATTCCTTTCCCAACCTGTGTCCCTGAGAGCACCCGTGCCAGCGCCCTCAGCAGCAGCAGCTCCATGGAGCCCCTTGGATTACCCTCCAGCAGGAGATTGCATTTCCTCACCACCTCCTCCGAGCACCCTCGCCCCAGCAAGGCCTCCAGCTCGTACACTGAGGCCACCACGTTGTTTGGGATGAGGGTGGAGAGGAAAATCGCAGCTATTCCCACGCTGAGGGACACCACGGCCAAGTTCCTGCTCTGGATTTTGGGGATCTGAGCCTTGCCTTGGCACCAGGCCTCCAAGGTGGCCACCACTCTCTCCCAGAGTGCGTGGGCCATGGAGTTCACTCTCTGCACTGCTGTGGGGGCGCAGCAGCTGAAGGCAGCCAGGTAAAAAGCCGTGGCTGCGGGAAATTCCTGCAGGGAGAGGCGTTCGTCCCCTTCCCCACAGAGCAGGGCGGCCAGCTCCTCGGGGGACATGGCTGGGCCTTGGGCCTTCACCGAGCGGCATCACGGGCCGGACATGGCTGGGGCCTGGAAAACAGAAATGAGGGGATGTGGAACAGGGTTTGAGCAAAAAATCTCGAATGAGGGGATGTGGGGCAGGGTTTGAGCAGAAAATCAGAAATGAGGGGATGTGGAGCAGGGTTTGAGCGGGAAATCAGCCATGAGGGGCTGTGGAGCAGGGTTTGCGCAAAAAGTCTCGAATGAGGTGCTGTGGAGCAGGGTTTGAGCAGAAAATCAGAAATGAGGGGCCTTGGAGTCAGAAAATCATCAATGAGGGACTGTGGAGCAGGGTTTTGACAGAAAATCGAAAATGAGGGGCTGTGGAGCTGGGTTGGAGCAGAAAATCAGAAATGAGGGGCCTTGGAGTCAGAAAATCAGCAGTGAAGGGCTGTGGAGCAGGGTTTGAGCAAAAAATCTCGAATGAGGGGATGTGGGGCAGGGTTTGAGCAGAAAATCAGAAATGAGGGGCCTTGGAGTCAGAAAATCATCAATGAGGGACTGTGGAGCAGGGTTTTGACAGAAAATCAAAAATGAGGGGTTGTGGAGAAGAGGTTTGATAGAAAATCAGTGATGGTGGGCTGTGGAGCAGGGTTCTAGCAGAAAATCAGCCATGAGGGGCTGTGGAGCAGAGTTTCAATAGAAAATAATCAATGAGGGGCTGTGAAGCAGAGTTTTAGCAGAAAAACAGCTACGAGGTGCTGTGGAGCTGAGTTTTGACAGAAAATCATCACTGAGGGGCTGTGGAGCAGAGGTTTGAGAGCAAATCAGCAATGGGGGAACATGGAGCAGAATTTTAGCAGAAAATCAGGCATGAGGGGTTCTGGAACACAAGTTTTTCCATTTGGAGGGAGCAGCTTTTCAAATGCCAGATGCCAGCAAGCCCAGGCGCTGTGAAAAGCCAGGGTTTGGTCACTGCCAGGTTTCTGGGGGAGTAAAGCCACGAGGAGAAACATCACAGAGGTTCACAGAGAAAGCACCCACCCCCCTTGGTCAGCATTCCCTGCCCATGAATGAGGCTGGGACAACCATTCGATAAATTTTTAATCATCAATGTCGCCGCTGGTGGGGACACGGAGGAGACAGAGCCACATGAGCCACATGAGACAGAGGCTCGATGCTTCACCCACCCCTTACCTTTTCTCTTGGCCTGGAGGAAGGAGGATAAAATCGGTTTTTTTTCCACCCAGCAGACAGGACGAGGCTCCTGCTCCTCATCCTGCACACCTGAGCCCAACACTGCCGATACCTGAGAGGGGACGAGACGGGGCTGGGACAGGAGGGATGGAGGAAAGGAAGGAGAAAGGAGGGAGGGAGCACAGGGCAGGAGCTGTGTTGCCTGGAGACAGCAAACACTGCCCGGTCCCGGTGTCCTGCGGGGCGGGGACGGGAACCCAGCCAGGGCTTCTCCCTCCTTATCCCGAGAGACTGGCAGGGATGCTCAGGGCATGGCCAGGGCATGATTCCCTTCATCTGACAGAAATGATGCCCCTCACCTCGGGGAAAGAATCTCCACTGCCTTGGGGAAAGGATCCCGCTCACCTCAGGGAAAGGATTCCACCCACATTTGGGATAGGAACCTCCTCACTTTGGGGAAAGAATCCTCCTCACCTTTGGGACAGGATCCCCATCACTTTTGGGAAAGGATCCTCCTCATCTGGGAGAAAGGATCCCCATCACCTTGGGGAAAGGAACCTCCTCGCTTTGGGGAAAGGATTCCACTCACTTTAGGGAAAGGATTCCCCTCACCTTGGAGAAAGGATTCTCATCACTTTTGGGAAAGGCTCCCCCTCACCTTGGGGAAAGAATCCCCATCACTTTGGGGAAAAGATCCTCCTCACTTTGGAGAAATGTTCCCCATCATCTTCAGGAAACTAATCCAGGTCATGACCCTCAGCAGGACAAGATACAGGGAATTATACAAAACAGCAAACTCTATGATGCAGCCTAAACTTTCGACCTTATTTTTTATTAATAAGCCTTGTATTTTCATCATAAACATTATTTTTAATAGTAATCCTCATTTTTAAATAACTACTCCTCTTTTTTAAATAATAACCCTGAGGTTTTAAATAATAACCCTTATGTTTTAAATAATAACCCTTATTTTTAAATAATAACCCTTATTTTTTAACAATTAGAGTGTTTTCAGCAATAGATCAACTCTGTTTTTAGGAGTGTTTAGCCTGATGGTGTCCCTTTAAGCCAGGGCAACTCTGAAGTCCAACTCTTTATTTCTCCACATTCTTTGACATTCAAAAGAGTAAAAAAACCTCTCTATGATGAATAGAGATTTTTTGACATTTTATTAAGAGTTTGCCCATTACGTTGATTTGATTACTTTCACTTTAATTACCCTAATTAGCCATCAAGATATAATTTAGCATTGCTGTCACATCGGGCCACAGGTGATATTGCCAGGAAAAGACTCAAGGGCACGACAGAAGCAGTTCTGAAATAGAAATCACATTAAGGGGAGCTGGCTTGATCAAATGCCTCTGCCCCTCCTTGGAGGCTCAGGCAGAGCTTGTGGGAATAAAATTGGGACTGGAGCCTCCAACAGAGCCTGGTCCAGGCTGCAGAAATCATTACCCATCATCTGACTTTGCTGCATGACTGAGTGGGCTGGAAGTTGCTTCCAGCCACGTTTTGCCCTGTAGATACAGAGAATGTGAGGATGGCATTGTCCTCCATCCATCATTTCCAGCTGGAAAAGGCTGGTTTGGGTAAGGATCCCCTGTGCTCTCTGCTGTACATGGATGGTTTTGGGGATGCTGTGCTTGGCCAAAAAGGCAGCAGCCTCATGAAGTGTTGTTTTGTTGGCCTTAGGTCCACAAAATTTGACGTTGTGTATCAAACTTAAATCAATTTATGTTCCTAACTTTGGAGCTTGAAGGACTAAGAGGAGCAACATCTAAGGAGCTCAGTGGGAAATGAGAATATTTCTCTGTGCCCTGGTGTGATCTCTGAGAGTGTGAGTGTTTAAACCTGTTGTGTAAGAGGTGGAATCTGCAATGTCTCTTAAAGACTTACAGGTTCTTCTCAATCCCCCAGACAATTTGCTGCATGTCCTGTGGGGCAGATAAGACCAGCTCCTTTCCTAAAAGGGTCATAAAAACGCAGGGCAGGGGAGGGAAATTGTGGAGATGTTTATCTAAACATTAAATATTAAGTCTGCCACACACTCATTAAATAGTAACTCTACTACAGCAGCTCCTCGGGATGCCTCTGATTACTGATGAATTTTTAAAGGAAGGTGGGTGGGGAGGGAGTAAACACAGAACAAGTTTACAAACTTTGTTTTTCCTGCTTTGCAGAGCAGGAGGTGCACAAACACATCTGCAACAGCCCTGCTCAGAGTCAGGGCTGAGAAATCCTGCACTTCTTTCTTTTAAAGGCTCTCAATTCCTGCAGTGTAACAAGTCCCTTCTCTTACAGTTGTTAAATGCCACGTGTAGCTCTGGCTGAGGCTGAGAAATCAGCACTTTGGGGCTGAAAATGTGGCTTAAAAGGAGGATGACCTTTCTTTGACAGAAAGGAGCATAATGGGGTGGGGTGTTAATAAAGTAAAAAAAAATCTCAGATTTATTTGATGACCATTTTTCACTGTGAGCTGTACCTGGGCTGGTAAGCAGACACCAAATTCTGCCCTCTTTAGGATGGTGTGATGACACCAAATTCTTCTCTCTTTAGGATGGTGTGAATGACACCAAATTCTGCTCTCTTTAGGCTGCTGTGAACATTCAGGATGGGGAATGAAGATGTTTCTTCTAAATGGTCCAGGCTGGGTGCCCTCCCCACAGAAGCCAGAGGAGCTCTGCTGGTGTGTGAAGCCACAGGATGAAATTTCATCCCAAGGCATCTTTATTTCCACGCCCTCAGTCTGTTGGGAGAGCTGGGAGCTCTGTTGTCAGCCTGAAGCAGGATCTCCTTCTTCTGTGGAGGGAATTTGCAGCCCTGGCACTGTGTCCCCACATCCCCACAGCTGCTGCTGCTCCTTTGGGTCCCAGCAGAGTTCCAATGGAGACCTCTAAGGGTTGTTGGTGACAGATCTTCTTCCTAATGCAGTCTGGTAGGAATAATTCATTTTCAGGATGTTTTCAGTCTTTTTAGAGTGGATTTTATCACAGAATCATTGAAGTTGGGAAAGACCTCCATGATCAGAGCCCATCCTGTGCTTTATCCGCACCTCATCACAAGCCCAGGGCACTGAGTGCCACATCCAGCCCTTCCTTGGACACCTCCAGGGATGGGCACTCCAAACCTCCCTGGGCAGGCCCTGCCAAGGCCTGAGCACCCTTTCCATGGAGAAATTCCTTCTGATGTCCAGCCTAAACCTCCCCTGGCCACCTTGGGGCTGTTTACCCTCATCCTGTCCCTTTTTCCCTGAGAGCAGAGCCTCACACTCCTTCTGTCAGGCAGTTGTGGAGATAGAAACTCCCATTTGAACCTCCTTTCCTCCAGGACTTATATTCTATACTCCAGTCCTATATTCTATAATAGGACTAAAATCCTATTATAGGATATGTTAGACAGATCCTCAGTCAAACTTTTCTGCTCACCAGGTATTCACAACCTCCTGGGTGCATGAAGGTGTGTGGGCACAGAAAGCCAAGGTGATCTCTCCATGCGCTGGATTATTTTCATCTCTGCCCACCCAATAAGAATGACAAGGCAAAGGATTGCAGGGATCCTCCTTAAGGAGCAGGATTAAGATGCACTTGAGTGAGATTACAAGAAAAGTGTGGTTGTTCCATTAGAAAAAGGAATAATCCCTTTGTTTATGTTCTGGAGATTAAAGCAGTGACAGCAGAAAGCACCCAGAGGTCACCACACACAGACTTTGCTGTCTCAGTGCCTGGCTGGGCTGTGGCTCTGGGATTCGGCAGTTGCAGAATTTAGTTTAGTCTGTTCTTTTTGTGTTGGGAGCTCTGCAGTGGCTCCATGTGAGGCAGGGAAGTGGCTCTGCCTATTCCACAGGCACAAAGGTTGTGCTTGACCAGGAGTAAAAATCTGTG